TTCTCTTCCTTTGCCCAATCTCGATAGCTTCCTAAAAATGATTTCATCGGCTGGGATGTCTCTCCTCTGTCCTTCTCCGCTTTCTCTGCCTTTCTCTCCCTCTCTCTGTCTCTCTCTCCCTCCCACCCTCCCTCTCCCCCCTCTCTCTCCTCCCTCTCCTCCCTCCCTCTCCTCCCTCCCCTCCCCCTCTCCTTCCCTCCCTCTCCTCTCCCTCCCCACCTCTCCCCTTCCCTCTCCCTCCCTCTCCCTCCCTCTCTCTCCTCCCTCCCTCCCTCCCTCCCTGCCTTCCCTCCCTCCCTCCCTCTCTCTCCTTCCTTCCCTCCCTCCCTCCCTGCCTCCCTCCCTCCTCCCTCCCTCCTCTCTCTCCCTCCCTCCCTCTCTTTCCCTCCCTCTCCCTCCCTCTTTCTCTCCCAGAACAAAATTTCAAGAGCAGAAAATACCTCCCGGTTTAGGCCAGACTTAGAATTTTACGTTCAGGAAGCTCCCTCTTAATTATTATTCAGTGTGTTTCATCCGTTCTCCGATCTGCCATTTGGGGAATATTTCCGTCGGAGATAAGTCGGTCGGTTATATTCCGTCGCTTCCTCCGGATATTGGTTTTCGTCGGTTAAGCTGGTCGGATATGTGTCGGTTTGGGGGTTTTCTTGTTTTTTTATTTTTTTTTATATCTTTTTTCGGGTTGGGGGGGGGTATTTGTTTGTTTGTTTGTCCGATGCTTGTTTTATTTTTTTTTTGTCGTGCTTATTTATGTTTTTTTTTTTCTTTTTTTCTATTCTTTTACTTTTCATTCCTTTTTTCCCCTCCCTTTCCTTTCTCTCACACACGCGCACTCCCTCTCTTTTACCCTAACTAGCTATACCACCGATCTCCCTATCTCTCAAACCAATCTACCTATCTGTCAGTCAATCTACCTATCTGAGAGATACATCCAACCTCCCTACTTACCCATCCATCTTTCTCTTTCTCTCCACGTATCCGTCTCCCGATCAAGGCCATCAGCACTGCCACTAACGACGACGGAATATCCACATGCAGCTGATCAGGAATGCTGTGCGTCTGAGTTGATAATGTAACTCAATGCTGTTATCAGAGTCGAGAGTCTCTTGGGAGCGAACGGGCCTCTCGCCTCTCCTGGTCGGTGCTGCTGGTCCCTTCGTCTGTGAGTGTGTGTGTGGGGGCGGGGGGGGGGGGTGTCTGTCTGTTGGTTTGTCTTGTCTTTCTCTCTCTCTCTTTCTCTCTACCTACTTATCCATCTATCTATATATCTCTTTATATCTCTCTCCTTTCCTTCCTCCCCCCCCTCTCTCTCTCTCTCTTTTATTATTTAATTTTTTCTCTCTTTCTCTCTCTCTCTCTCTCTCTCTCTCTCTCTCTCTCTCTCTATCTATCTATATATATATCTTTATCTCTATCTCTCTCCCTGTCTTCCTCTCTCTCTCTCTCACTCTCTCTCTCTCGTTACCTCTTTATCTCCCCCATTTCTCTTCTCGATTTGTTTTGTTTCTTTGTTGTTCTTTCCTATTTTTTCTTTTCGTCTCTTCTCTTCCAATCTCTCTTGTTTCTTTTTAGGTATTTTTCCACCTCGCCCTCTCTTTTTCCTCTTTGTTGGCTTCCTCCTCTCACTAATTCCCGTATTCTTACTCTTCCTTACATTTTTTCTTCCCATTTTCTTTCTCCTCTTTCTTCCCTATTTCCCCCAATTCTTATCTTTTCCCTTTCTTCCCATTTTCGAAACGGATTAAGTCACTCTCAGGCCCAATTTCTCAAGCAATTCGAAAGGGTAATAAGGTCAACGAAGGTCAAAGGAAGGACTTACAATATCGTAACCTTTTGTCAGTCTCCTAACAAGGATTTCACAATACATATACTTTCATTTTTTTTTATATCTCCTTCCTTACTTAATATATTTTTTTATATTTCTCTCTCATCTTTCTTATCCTTTTTTTTCTTCCTTCCTCACACCCCCACTTCCCTCCTTATACCTACCACCCCCCTCCCCCTCCCCTTCCCCGTCATGCGCAAAAGTTCCTTATCTCCTTCCTATTTTTTTCTATATCTCTCTCTTCCTTCTCATTCTCTTTTTCCCTCCCTTTCCTTACACTCCCCCCTCCTTCCCTCCTTAAACCTATCACCCACCCGCCATCTATATATTTCTTATTCCTCTCTTCTCTTTCTCATCCTCTCTTTTCCCCTCCCTTTCATTACACCCCCACCCCTTCCCTCCATATACCTACCCCCCCCCCCCCCCCGCCTCCCCCTCCCCTTTCCCGTCACGGACAAAAGTTTTGACACTTTCACCTCCCTGCTTCGTCTTCTCTCGCCCCCGCACATGCAACCAGCTGGTAATCACCGTGTCTCTAAATTGTATTAAGGCCATCTGCGTGCGAATAAGCCCCGAGATACGACCTGCAACGTGGGCCTGTTGGGATGCTGGGAGGGAGGTGTTCAATTAGAGGCAACAGGTCATGACTTCATCTCCTTGGTAATGAGTTAAGGGGGCTGGGTCGTGGGAGGAGTGGGGAGCTACAGATGCCTCCACCTGTGGGCGTTTTTTTTTTTTTTTTTCTTTTCCCTCTCTCTCTCCTTTTTTTTTTTTTTTTTTTGGGGGGGGGTTCTCCTATGCTTCGATTTTTTCTTTATTTCTTTGGTTGTTGTGGATTGCTCTCTGTGTGTTTTGCCTTATGAGATCTTTTATTTAATAGTTTATAGAAGATAATGCATTTGATGAAAACTGTGATCAAGAGAGAGAGAGAGAGAGAGAGAGAGAGAGAGAGAGAGAAGAGAGAGAGAGAGAGAGAGAGAGGAGAGAGAGAGAGAGAGAGAGACAGAGAGAGAGAGAGAGAGAGAGAGAGAGAGAGAGATTAAGAGCAAAAAAGCAGGCATACAAAGAGAGATACTAGACAGAATTCAGTTTCACTTCCAAAATACTTTATTCCATTTTTACATAGTATTTTTACAGTACAAATAAATATAAGATAAACATAAAATTGAATTCAAATCAATCCGTGCTTTTTGTTATATTTAGAAGCCTGGTGCCACTGACGCTTTACGAAATGCTTCTCAAATACTCTTTTAAAGGTATTCACAAACCCAACATAAAAGGCACTGGGAGGTGGTCGGTCCCAGATCATAGGCTCCCGCGTTGGCAATAGTGGCTTCCCTCTATTTCTATGTGTGATCTTTTGACGTAGAAATGTTTTTTTTTTGCCGTGTTTGAATTCCAGCTGCGTTACCTATGGTTGGGAGTTGTAAGGGCTACTTTGGTTAATGAGCCTGAATAATTTTGTGGATGAGTTTACGAGTATCATAATTGCGTTTGTACCGGAGTTTTAACCATTTTAGTTTATTTATGCGTAAGGTTATGTCGTCATATTTAATAATGTTGCCAAGTGTATTCTTTTTTAACTTTATTGGTCGAACATTTGAGCAATAGTTAATAATACTAGGAGGAAAGTGTACAACAGTAAGTAACAATAAGGATTTCATCTATATTTTCTCCGGAAATTTTGTCCACTTGTCTGTTACAATTTTCTCGAGGACTGTAGACAGTATAGGCAATATGGCAAAAGGACAATAGTTATTGACTTATTCTGTCCCTAGTGTTTCATTACAAAAGATGGGAAGGTCAGATGTTTTAATAAGAACAGTAGGCTGTCTGTAACAAACCGAAAGCATTGTCATCTCCCTCCAGAGCATTTGTTTAGTTGTTAGAATTATTGTTTATATGTTAGTGGTTGTGGTCTGAAAGTATTGGCTGAGGGCTTTAACCCACCTGTATTTGCCGAGATGTGGAAGCAGTTATTTGTTCACAGGTGAGTTTTCCAAAAGTGCTGAAGAAAGCATCAAAACCCCTCCGTACCGAGGCTGAAATTTAAACCAATACCTCTGCGATTTATTGCATTTGATGTCTATTTTTACAATTAGTTCATGGATTAGGCCGCGCTAAATCTGTTGTTTGCGAGAGCTTTTTAGCGAGTGTTACTTTTTCACTGTTATGGCTCTCTTGTTGCCATTTATCCATGGGACAAGAGAACATCAGATCTTGTTACAGTGGTTATTATCTTTATTATCATTGTTGCTAAATTTATCATTATTGTTGTTATCATTACAAAAATAGTTATAATGATGAAAATGACGTAATATTGTTATTGTAATTTTCGTATAACAATTTATTTTATCGGGTAGGAAGTATCTATGGCATCTACACTATCTTTAATCACTTCCGTGAGGACATTTATCTACTTATCTACATTATCTGTTGACTCTTTGATTTTAATTTGCTGGCAGCGATTAAGGGACATAGTGAGTTAGGTTACTAAAAACTTTCTCTTATGGTCGGGAGTCAAATTGATCTCTATAGAGTGAGTTTGTATGGCGAATGTCGTCAGAGATCTTTGTTATTTCTACATTTATTGCTGACGAAGGAAGGGCATCCGGCTGTGAAAACCTTTGCCAAAACCAATATATGGAACGAGCCGTAATAGAGCGGTTCATCCATAACGGCGACCTCTTATAGAAATGGGAGAAAGCTAAGAAGGATAACGAAGGGTTTCTGTGTCGCTTGCAGGTTCATTGATCTCGCCAAATCCCTTTGATCACGGTTGTTGACTTTGCTTTAGGTACACTGTGATTTCTGGGGATTACAGGAATAGTCTATGAATAAATACAAATATAGATAGATAGATACATAGACAGACAGGCAGACTGACTGATCGGTAGACTGACAGACAGACTGATCGGCAGACAGACTGATCAGCAGACAGACAGACAGACTGATCGGCAGACAGATAGATAGACAAACAGACAGGCAAACAGACAGACAAACAAGCAGACAGACAGACAGCCAGCCAGACAGATAGATCGATATGAATAGACAGACAGACAGACAAACAGATGGATAGAAGAATGGATGGCTAGATAGATACTCCCCTAATTCTTATTACCGTTTCAAGAAATAGGCATAAAAATAATTGTTTTTTTCCTGTCTCTCTCCTCGCCAGGTCTGCCAGCGTCACACATCCTCTGCGGCATGACCACCGTCCGCATGGTTTCTTCAGGGCTAACTGACAACTCCATCACTCTTGCCATCTCGCAGATCTCCGATTTTGATATCATGCCAACACTGATGTGTGACCTACCTCTGTAAGGTAAATGATACAGGTTATATATTTCATGATTGGTACAAATGTGTGGGGATTTCAGTATGGAAAATAAAGATATACCTATTAACGTCTAGATGAAATACGATACGATACGGAAAATAAAGGTATAGCTATTAATGTCTCGACTTAGTATATACATAAGTGCTCCCAAGTCCACTTTCTGTTTGAATTCATATAATTCCCTGGGCATATTTCCCCTGTTTCCTCAAAATATACACACATGCACGAAATGCCCGAGCTTTTAAGGTAGAATTAAGCTCCTTAGGCCCAAAGCACACATGAAAGCACGTGCATTTAAGTAGTTTCATTAAGAGCTCCTGAATGGCGGTGACCTAGTATGACACGAGATTCAGGGTCGCTTTGAAATTCCGTTTTTGTGATGAGATTAATTCGCAAAAAAGGTCAAGGGTAAAGCAAAAGTTAGAAAGATCCGATTAAGATATATTTTGAAGTTTACCATAAATTGTATTTATTATTACTATTATCATCTTCGTTATCAACATTGTTGTTATTAGCGTTATTGTTATCCTCATTATCATCATCATCATTATTATTATTTTCATTGTCATCATCCTCGTCATCATATTTTTTTTGTTAAAGTTATCCTTTTCATTAATATTATAATCATGATTATTATCATCTTTAACATTATTATTATCATCATCATCATCATTGTTGTTGTTATTACTACTATTACTGTCATCATCATTAACATTATCATTAATATAATCATAATTATAATTAATATCATCATTATTATCATCATCACCATATCATTACTCTTTCTGTCATCATCCTCATTAATATCATCCTTATCATAATCATAATAATCTTTAACATCATCCTTATCATAATCATTATAATTTTAATATCACCTTTATCATACTCATAATAATCTTCGATAATCATAATAATCTTAATCATCCTTATCACAATCATAATAATTTTAATATCATCTTTATCATACTCATAATAATCTTCAATATCATCCTTATCATAATCATAATAATCTTTAGCATCATCCTTATCATAATCACAATCATCTTTAATATTATACTCATAATAATCTTCAATATCACCATTTTCATCATCATTAAACCGCCAGCCTTCGTCCGCCCTCCTTCACCGTCTCCTTCCTCCCTTCGCAGCCCGTGAGTCGCCTCCCCTCAGAGGTCCTTCAGAAGACATCCGAACCGAAGCTCTCATTTCCACCCGCCCCCCTCATCTCCTCGCCAGAAGATGCTCGTCCACTTCGTCTCCGTCCACTCTTCGTCCTCGTCTCCTCGTCCTCGTCTCTCGTCCACTCGTCTCTCCTCGTCTCTCTTCGTCTCTCCTCGTCTCGTCGTCCTCTCGTCTCGTCTCTCTTCGTCCCTCTGAGAAAAGGAAATAGGATTAAGACGGTTTTGCGGATGTTTTTTATTTATTTGCTTGTTTGTTTATTTTTTATTTAGACTTTTTCGTTTTCTCTCTTTTTGATGTTTATTCATTCATTTATGTGTTATTTTCTGTTCATAGGTTTCTCGTTCCGTTTGTTGTGCCTGGATATATATATATATATATATATATATATATATATATATATATATATATATATATATATATATATTTTTTTTTTTTTTTTTTTTTTTTTTTTTTTTTTTTTTTTTTTTTTTTTTTTTCATTTATTCATTCACTCGTTTATTTATTAATTGCCTTGGTTATTATCGTATGTGTTTGTGTTTCCCTCTTTTCGCTCCTTTTCGAATGCACTGATTATCGTGTGAAAGGTGTAAGTGGAATTCAACAATTCTAAAAAAAAGCAGCAGATGTAATTTATGGAATGCTGATGAAGATATGAATCAAAATGCATCATTTACGTCTGTCGTGTGAAGTCACTTATTATTTTTATTTTTATTCAATCTTATATTCTTGTATTCTTATCTCTTATCTTTTATATTTGTACATTGAAGATATGTCATTATCGTAGCCTCAACGGGTCAATTCTTATTTTTTTTCTGTTTTATCTTATTATGATTATCCGTTTGGTTTCCTATCTCTCTCTCTCTCTCTTCTCATTTGTTTCATCTTTCTCTTAATTTTTTTAATCGTGGTTATTTATCAATATTTTCTCTTTAATTCCTTTGTTCTGTAAATCAGACAGAAAACCTTATCTCAGATCCTTGAATCCTCTCTCTCTCTCTCTCTCTCTCTCTCTCTCTCTCTCTCTCTCTCTCTCTCTCTCTCTCTCTCTCTCTCTCTCTCTCTCTTCTGAACCGGTCACAAGGAAGAACAAAAGCAAATAAACGAGTCAGGAAATATGGCTTCACAAAATCATCCCCAACGACCAGCAACAGCCAGCTTATCGGGAAGAAAAGACCAGCAAATTGGCCCTCCTTTCCGCCTCCCTTCCTCCCTCCCTCTTGTAATGCTTGTTATAATCTTATTTTATAGTTTAGGGACCGAAGAGAGAAATTTCAAAAAGACAAAATGATAAAATAAGGCATTTTGAAGATTAGTTCAGCGACTGTGTTCGCCTTGGAATATCTCGACCCTAGACAATCAGTGACATGGGATTCTACCCTATAAAATGGCGAATCAGATGTCCCGGATGAGGGTTTCGATTCGCAACGTCCGTAGGTTTTTATTCCAATTGTCCGTTTCATTCCCTTATGGCTCTGTCCAAAATTTTTTGGTTGGAGAAAATGAGGAAAAAGAAGTTGGAAAAGATGTATAGCTATTTATTTACATACAATCATTATTACTTGTCTGGATTAAAACTGAAGAATACTTACAGAACAGCCAACGAGTGTAGGATAAAAAAGCAACTATCTAAACTCCCCAAAAATGAAAATAATCGTTCCTTTAGACGTGAAAAAGAATTGAAAAAAAAAGAATATAGGAAAAACGAAAAACAAAAATGATTGAGCATTGAATGGGTGGAGACGATTAAGTAATCAGTCCTCGTTCAGTTATGGGCGCTTATGTACATATTATTTTGAAGGTTCCAGGCCTTTTTAGACGGAGAATTTGACTGCGACATACAGCATCATGGAGAAGCATGTTCTGGGTCACCCAACGTACATGTGAGTGTATATCAGTATTGTGACAACATGAAATAATGTACGAAATTGGAAATAAAAATGATTCTAAGTCTTGTTTTATAACCTGTTCCTCAGTTGCAACTTAGCCTAATATATTTTTCTCGCTTGACAGCTATACATTTTTATTCTTAGAGTGACGTCATACATGCAGTTCACAAATCGGTATTTCTTTTTGGCTTTTTAGTTATAGAAGCGCGCACGTGTGTGTTATTTATATTTATAGTATATACAAACATATACACATACACATGTTATATATAGTATATATATATATATATATATATATATATATATGTATATATATATATGTATATTATATATACATATATAATATATATATATATATATATATATAATTATATAATATATATATATATATATATATATATATATATATATATATATATATATTATATATATATATATATATATATTATATATATATATATATATACATATATTATATATATATATATATATATATATATATATATATAATTATATATATATATATATATATATATATATATATATACATATACATATATATATGTATATATATATGTATATATGTGCACACACACACACACACACACACACACACACACACACACACACACACACACACACACCACACACACACACACACACACATATATATATATATATATATCATTATGATATATGTACCAAGTACACATCCTTTACCAAAAACAACTTTGTAGCATATATATATATATATATATATATATATATATAATATATATATATATATATATATATATATATATATATATATATGCACTGTCTGCATATATATACGTGCGCGTCTAAGTGTTTGTATTTGTATTCAAGTACACATCCTTTACCAAAAACAACTTTGCAGCCAAACTTCATTATAAACGTACACAAAATAAACTTCAATGTTTGACTTTGAAGTAAATTCCTGAAATGTTTTGATATGACATCTTACATTTTGCATTGCGTCCGCATCCCAAAGCAGTGACATTTGCTCTCACCCCCCCCCCACTTGCATTTGCGCTGGATATTGCAAACTTAGAGGCTTTTAACATAATTCCACAAGGAGAGAAAAAGAAAAGGGAAAATAGAATAGAGAGCTTGCGAGGGGTTACCGAGCTAAAACACATACGAATGATCTGAAAAGGGAATGTATGTATTTAACATCGCTTTCATACATATTACTTAAAATAATTCTAGTTTATTTCTTACGATCAAAATATAAATATTAGATGTAACCTACATTTTATTGATAGACAGAATTAACAATTCTGAACAGTCAAAAATAAACTAATATGAATAGAATTCACCATGATAATTGTAAAAAAAAAAAAAAAAAAAAAAAAAAATCTGCATTAATAGTACTTTTCAGACGCTTTTCAAAATTCTCTATCATCATTCTTAGTTTGAAAATTCCTTAATGGGGATTTCAAAGTTCGTCTCTTATTATTCTACTTCTGACATTCTTCTCTTTATTCGTCGTTATTTTCTCGGTTCATTTTTGTTCTTGTTATTGGTCGTTATTCTTGTTATTTGTTCGTCGTTCTTGTTATTATATTGTATGCATTTGTTTCATTGTTTATTGATTGTCATTTCCGTTATTTGTTATTTTCGTTATTTCATATTTCCATTCTTGTCATTCATTGTTATTCTCGTTCTTCATTGCTGTTTGTCATCATATTCGTGATTGATTTTATTCTTTACTGTTATTCTTATCCGTTTTTATTGCTGTTCCCATTCATGTAATTAATCGTTATTTATCGTTATTCTCTCTTTCCTTTGCTATTTTTTCATTCTCTTTATTCATTCGGTTATTTGCTAATTACCTTTATCATCAGATATGAATTAGATGTTAAAAAAAAGTCAAATTTGTTTTGCATTTTCAGTCATTTTACTTTGATTTGCTTTTCGAAATATATTTTGCCTTTGGTATCTTGTGGTATCTGTTTTGGCGTTTTATCATACATATTTATTTTGCATTTTGGTATCTTTTTCAAGATCCAGTCTGGTATCTAGTCTATTTCATTCATTCACCTGTTTATTTTTGCCTTTTGGTATCTTTCTAAACATCCATAGTTTTTCTTTGTATTTTGCTGTCTATGGTATCTATTTTTGGCGTATATTATTTATATCTATTTTTCCATTTTGGTGTTCTTTCTTTCATCTATTTTGTATTTTGCTAACTTTTGGTATCGTTTTGACATTTATTCGATTTTTTACTCTTATTCTGCATCTTTTTAAACATCTAATCTGGTATCTTTCTTGGTATCTCTTTTCAAATATTGCGTTTTGGTATCTTCTATCGGTATTCAATCTGTATCTGATTTACATTTTGACAGATTTAATTATTACTTTAGTTTTATCATTACTATTATTTATTTTGTCAATTGAGGTTTCGCATTTTCCTGTGTAATTTATAATCCGATATCAAATGAATAGGTAATTATGATCCCTCTAAATTGGTAATAATCGTCGACCATGACATTAGTGATTAGTTTAGTTAGTAGTAGCGATTAAGCAGAAGTTTGTAAATGACATAATTAGTATAGTAATTATGATTGATGTGATTGGCATAATTATCCATAATGATTGATCTACTGATGAATGCGTTCTGATGTTGGTGATAAATGACAATTAAAATAATATATAGTAATTTCAGTAAATCTCCACTATAAAACTAAAAATAAGAACAAAAAAAAACCCCACTTAATAAACAAGGATAGAAAAAAATAAGAAAAAATAAAAAATAAAATAAAAAAAAATAAAAATAGAAACAAAGAAGAAAACCTCCCTTTTCCCCGGGTACTCCATCGTCAGGCATCAGCAATCACCTATTCGTTCACCCACTCCAGCGGACGGGCGTGTGGGCGGGAGACGCAATCACCGGGAAAAACCCTTGATCAGCCGTCGTGCAACATCCGGTCGGTTCACCTCGTGGCGGGAAGCCTCATCAACGCGAGTGAATAGGGAGATCTATGCACACCGACGTGGAGGCGTGTGTGTGTTGTATTAATTTATATGTAAATATATATATATATATATATATATATATATATATATATATATATATATATATTATATATATATATATATAATATATATATATATATATATATATATATATATATATATATATATATAGTGTGGTGTGTTGTG